TATAGCAGTTAGTGTGCTGGTTGGTCACATGGTGTGTACCACACTCAACATGGACCAGAGGAAAAGAAGGAAAGAGTCGTCTCAAGAGACTAGAAAGAAAATGATAGCCAAGCATGTTAAAAGTAAAGCATTTGTCATTGTTTGAGTCAAAATGGACTAAATGGGAGACGACCAAGGAGGACACCATTATTAACCATAACCATATAAAAGACAGGTTGGGATTTGCCAAACAACATATTAACAAGCTACAAAGCTTCTAGGAGAATGTCCTATAAACGGATGAGAGAAAAATTTAACTATTTGCCAATGCACATTAGCCCTATGTTCTCAGATGGAAAATGAACCCTATCAAGAAAAGAACCCTCTCCCGACTGGAAAACATAGAGGAAGCTCTGTTATTATCTGGCATTGGGTGTCTTGAATCTTTCCGGGTTACAGCAAAATCTCAAGATTATCAAGGGATTCTAGAGAGATATGTGCTTCCCAGTGTCAGAAAGCTTGGTCCCAATTGAATGTCATGGGTCTTGGAACAGGACAATAACTAAAAAACATAACTAAAAACAACCAAGAACGGTTTGTAGAAAGAAACACTGAACTATTCTAAAGTGGCATATGAACCCTGACCCATGATTTTTTTTCTGAAACATTCAACCATTTTATTGTTCTTGTCAGCTGCATGGAGGAGAACCAAGCTGACATCTTTATTAGGTGTGATATTGGTCGTCAAACTGCAAAGAGCACGTCTTAGGAACTGCAGGTTTTTTTCTGGCTTTTTATGCATTTCCCACCTTGAGTCCCCTTAAGATACAAAGTAACAACTTCAGATATTAGCTTAGAACACTGAAGTGTATACCATCTGTCTTACTTTTTCCATGCTATGTGTATAACTGTTTATGATTGGGGATGGAAACTGCCAAAACAGCACAGTTTAAACACAAGTTGGACTTTTGTAACATAAATAAAAGATTTCTGTATAATATACATTATTTCAGATAAGAGTCAGGTCAGCTATCATAGATCACATTATAAAAAGGCAATAAAATCAGAATGCTGATAATCTGAAATGTATCAAACAAAAAACTTTATAAGATGAGGGTAAGAAAGATCTGGAAATATACATGTTATAACAATACGTTTTCCAAAACAGCAACAAAACCTTATGGGCCCTCTTCCTGTATGTGTTGATAGTTAAAAAGATACTCAACAGGAAAAATGATTTGAGGTGGAAAACACGCTCCTGATATTTAAAACTATAAACATTGTTTAGCATATCAGTGAAGAAAGGACTCTTCCACAAACAGAAAATACACCAAAGGCAAGAAGTTAAAGTTGCTCCCCTCGTTCAACTTACTTCTGCTGCATTTATGGGATAATTCATCTATTCTTGGAACTGAATAGCCCTGACAGCCTGGTGGGAGCCAGAGAGAGACAAAGCACCCATGGTAATAGCTGACATTAACTTTAGAACAATAGAGTCAAAGTGAAAAAAGAATAAAATATGGGCGGGACATGTTATGTTGTGCCGTGAGAGGCATTAAGGGTTCCCATCAGGGTTTAAATGTCTGCATATTTTTTATATAAATGTATTTAATTATGTCGCTAGAAAAAATGCCTGTTACTGAAAATATCCATTTCTAAAATGTGGCAAAGGAGAACTAATACAATTGAAAAGTCTGATACTTTCTCTCTAGTATTACTGTTAGTTTAGAATGGATTTTTATATTAATCAAATTATGCTACCACTTGTAAGAGAAATGAGAGAACTCATTTTGCTTTTACCATATCAACTTTTTTTATAGAAGTTTGGGTAATTTGGCAAAGCAAAGTTAAATTCTATGTTTGTGAACACCAAGTTTCCTACTGAAGTTGATTGTAGATTTCTTTCTGAAGTCTCCATCTTAGCCTATGTCTGACATCTAGTGGACATGTATGGGTCACTGTTGCTTTGATTGATCCTGAAGAGTTTAAAGAGCAACAACTATGTTTTATGAACATTTATCTTATACTGAATGTATGTAAGATTTACAAGAAAAAGGTTGCACTTTAAAAAAAAAAGGAAACCTTGTTAATTTTTTGACAAGTAAAATGAATGTGCCCTCTAATTTAATGTACTTTAAGTCTTTAACTCTTTAAGTCACAGAGAAAAATGCCCATGATGCTTTTAACCTCTTAAAATTTGACCGAATTAAAATGTATTTATAGTAGTGTTAATCCTTTTCGTCATGAAACAATTTAAAATAGTTTACGTATTGTTAAATAAAATCACTTCACATACATACTTTGCATCGGTATAGGTGAATAACTTTGCACATTTGTATTTATTGCTATCACTGAAAAACATCTCTATACAAAGGAATTGTTCAATATTTAATTTTAGGTCAATATTGAAAAGATTAATAATTATTAAACAATATTGGTTGCATCACACACCAAATAAGCATTCTAATCCCTTTATATATCTAGAGATGGGGAGGTGGTGCTCTTGTGTTTTGTTTAAGAGCCCCCTGTTGTGGCTGACATTGTCATGGAAACAGCTACTCTCAGTGGTTGGCTTAGATCTACTGTACAAAGTGAGCAATTCTGTGGTCATTACCACAAATTTCCACAGGAGAAGGAGGCTCTTCATAAGAGTCTTTAAGTCTCTCCATCATTCCTCCTGCAATATGTAATCAAAAGTTTGTAATCATTATACAGCTGCAGAATTGTCTTTTCTGAAAACATTGCAAGAAGTTAATGAACCCAACAAACACCAACTGTATAGAAATTAATTTTAGAATTAATTGAACTCATGCTAAGATGAGCATATTGTGTTTTACTGTTTTAGGTTAAAAACTGGTAAGAAAAAAGCAGCATTAAACAGGATTTGACAGGTTATGTACAACATGATCTTATTTTCCTCTAAAAAAAAAAGTAAAATGTCTGACATGCTGTTTTTTTCTTGCTTCCCTTTATTAAGTGTCAGGTTGTGTGGAGGTTTGAAGAGGACCCAAATGCAAAGGCGGAAGCTTAGTTGGTTTCTTGCAGATTTAATATCCAGAAGTTGGCAACAGAAGCAAAAATCCACAAGCAAAACACAGAAAAAACAAAATCTAGGAGAAATCAGGGTAAACACAGGAGGAGTCAAGAAACGGCATAACAGTAACTGAAGAGGAGGAGTATAAATGGGAGACTGAAAAAAAAGTAGCAGATTGGGAGCAGGTGTGGACAGAAAAAACTAGAAGGGAGCTAGGAGAATGAGACTGATGCAACAGGGCAACAGAGAGTAAACAAGAAATACATAAGAACTCAAATACAACCAAAAACAACTAGAATAAAACTAAATAAAATAAAAAAGAAATGGAAATAAAACCAATGAAAACTCAAAAAGAAAACTTAAACAGAACCAAAACCATGACAATAAGTGCTTACAACTGAAATAATAAGTGTGCAGTTCTAAAAATAAATCTAATAAAAAAAAGAAAAATACCTCTGTTTGATCTCTTTAAATGTGAATAGTCACTAACAAACAAAACAATGCAGTTTGTGCAGGATGAAACAGGGAAAACCTTAGACTTATGAGATTGTACCAATGATGAAGGAAAATGCTCAAAAGACAAATGAAAATGTATGGCATTACTATCTTGAGTTTTTATAATTCTGAATTATATATTTGCATTATTAAATCTCATATGAATGTTTTTATTGCATCTTTTAATTTACTGTAATTTGCTTGTTGCAAACTATAAAACCATTAAGTATCCGAACCAAGTAAGACAACAAACCACTCAAATCGAACTATCAAAATCTTTTAAAAACATTCCAATCTAACGGTAGTTACTGCTAATGCACCCTGTATACAGCAGTTCTGTATT